TTCTAAATTGAGCAAAATTCAGTTTAGTATCCTTCAAAAGTCCTGGAACACTCACCATGGAATTGACACTAGGAATTTATCTTAAAAAATATACATGAATTAACAGAACTGCAAAACTATGGTTCATTTGTGTTTAAGATGAAGCAATATGGATGGTATAATTGATTGCTCTTAATTGAATAATTATTTTATACATGTGATGCTTTCATCCTGTGTAGCTAGCAAGGGAGTTGTGATAGATATTATATAATGCAAAGATTCTATATTGTACTTGTCATAAAAATACTCTAATTTTTACAATTTTCAGGTAATAAAAGTACTAAAAATAATCTGCTCTTAAACTATATATAGACTTTTTTTATTATTATTATTTATTTATAATATTTATTGACCTACCATTTTACCATAGGGTAACTCTGGGTGGCTTACAGTTTCATATACAGTTAAAATATAAAAAGACATTAAAACAAGGACACATGGGAAGGCGGGGGTGGAGGGGGGGTGGAGATGGGATCTGTTATTACTCAATCAACACCTCCATTGCGCTGTTCCCCCACGGGGACCACAAGCCAACTGGCACAGCCACAACTTTAGGCCCTTACAAAAAGATAGGAGAATTGGGGCCAACCTCATATCGAGGAGCAAAATGTTCCAGAGGGTAGGAGCCACAGCAGAGAAGGCCCTCCTCCTGGACCCCATTAGCCGGAATAATCGGGTTGATGGGACCCATAGCATTGCTTCCTCTGCATCATACGTTTTCTGGAATGGGGTGGCCAGAAGGCTACCAAACTTCATTAGAAAAGAAGAAAGCAGTAAAATTAAGGAGGCAAACAAGACAGGAAATAATGGACAGATGAGCTACTTTTGTAAGGGTACATTAACAGAATCTTAAAGTATAACTCTCCTTCTATCTTTACAGCCTGAGAAACTAAGGAGGGTCCCTTCTGAGCCTCTTGCTCTGCCCCTTGTTCATCTCTGGGCTACGCTGTCTTTTATCTGAGCGTTCCCTTGGCAGCATCTCTTTACTCCATAATTCAAGGTCTTTCCCACATACCACTATAGAATGCTACTTTACATAGTTCTATTCCTTGGGCCTTTTATCTCCTGGTGGTAATCTGATGTACTAAAATATTCTTATTTTATAAAATAATGATCAACATATTGATTAGGTTCACATATCTTGATGAATCATAATGTGTGTTATGTATTGAGGTTAATTGCTTGGAAACGGTTGGAAACGGTCAAACGGCTGCACCTGTTTAAGCTCCAGACTGACTATCTACATGTTAATTATCTTGCCTATAGGAGGGAAATACTGCTTTAATTCTATTGGCTGCCGCCTAGTGGTGAGCTGTATAAATAGTGGTTAAGCAGCAGTTTGGGCTGCTTCTGTTTTGACCTAATAAAAGAGTAGTTGTTTGCACCTGCTGCCTCGTCAATGCCTCACCGATACCAAAATATAACAATGTAGTTTATTTAGTATTGACTGAGGATGTTGTAAACTTTAATCCCTGTGGTTTGTGAACTATGGTTTATAGCTTAGTGTTTTGACAACCCAGACAATTATTCACTACATTAGTGCAATTAATGGAATATGTGAATTTGGTGATTGCTGTTGATAATAACCTATTAAATAGATCAGAAGACAGAAAAATTTATTTTATAAAATGATAACTATATTCTTCTTGTTGTTGTGCCATACCCGTTATCAGATGTTGGAGATCATGTTGACGATCATATTTTTGTCAGCAGCCGCATGAAAAAGTGCTGCTGAGTTTTGTCCGAATCAGTCCCTTAGATTTTGAAGCCATGATGTTCTTCTTCTGCCTGGACCTCGTTTGCCTTCAATCTTTCCCTGGAGGATTAAATGGAGTATGCTGTATTTTTCTGGGTATCGCATCACATGTCCGAAATATTCTAACTTTCATTTTTTAATTGTTTTGATGGTTTCCTTTGGCTTTCCCAGGTGGCTTATCACCTCCTCATTTCTGATCTTGTCAGCCCAGCCTATACATAACAGCTGCCTGTAAATCCACATTTCAAATGCTTCTAGTATCTTCGGGTGGCCTTCTGTCAGAGACCAACTCTCTACTCTATAGAGCAGGATAGAAAAAATATAACATCTGACAAGCCTGATATTACCATCTAAAATAACCCAAACATTTTTCAATTTAATGGTCTACAAATGGTTCATGGTCTACAAATTTCTTAGTTAATAACTCTTCTGTGTAATACAGGAATAAAATAATGATCAACTTTAATGCAGAGTCTTCTGGGACTCTGAGTATAATTGACATCTTTTAGAAGTAACATTATGAAATACTTTTTTTCCTCTCCATTTATCCCAATGCAGACCTATGGAATAGTGACAATTCAGAGTTGTTTTATATGTGATCTGCGTCAAGCCATCATTCATTAGAAGTTTTTTTCAATTTTATCTGTAGGGTGTAGTGTGAAAGCTTAGGAAGCATCTATGGAGCAACTGTTTTTAGTTTGACTTTTAAGGACTTTCACCCACATAGTTACATGCTGATCAATAATATTTTTGCTGCTTGAGTCTCATCAGGATGAGTAGCAGCACTTTCTCTTCTTGCCAGATATGTTATCAGTGCATGTGTCAAGCCATTCTAGTCCTAGGAAGACATAGTTTTAAACAATCGGCATCATTTACAGTAAAGCTGAACACTTCCACCAGTCCACTTTTCTTTCTATATTCTTCTTGATATACTTTGGTATATTGAGGACAAATCCTACACTAGATGATGCCTTGATCATATCTTGTAAGCAGCAGTGGCTTTTGCTGCAGACTCATTCTCTAGCCATTGGCCCTGCTAACTTGATATGATGGAGCTGGTTCAAGACGTTCGGACCATAGCAGGCTGCCCACCTGATTCTAAAGCAGCATAGCTCTTTTAATTTGTTCCATCAATAAAAACATAATTGGCTTACTGAGTTTTCTCCATTTTAATGGCTCATCCAGTACCTCAAATGCTAACATTACACAGTAGAAGTCATGGAGAGGAAAGGAGAGGTGTAAGAATATAGTTTATAATTTTTTTTAAGAAGCTAGCTTTCAGTCAACCTTAACTAGATTCACTATAATTAATTAAGGCCACATTTTCAATCAATCTACTGCATGAATAAATGATAACATTACCCTCAAGTCAAGCTCTACTCTGTACTACATCTGGGAAGTAGTTTGCCATTGCCATCTGGATGTTCCAGCTTCACCTCCACTGCTGATATCACCTGGAGATCTCCCATCCAAATGCTAATCAAGCTCTAACCTACTTAGCTTTTGAGCCTAGACAAGGTTAGCTAGATACTGGCACCTATTGGTTCACATCAACAAAGAGACTACCAAATTAACAAATAGAATGTTTCCTTGTAACTTAGTCTAATTTTTATTTTTTAAAAAATTGCTCTGAATTCATTTTAATAGAAGTTTTTATTTCTTTGGTGAATTTTGACATGGAATTAATCTCTAAGGCTGAAGAAGAATGGCCAGCAGGTGGCAATCACCCATAAAACGTCCTAGTGATCTGTAAGCCAATTCAGACCACATTTAATATGCGCAATTAAGTAAATGTAACATCTTTCAAAGATAGGTTAATTCTGAATGATAATCTTAAAAGCCAGTATGTCAGCTTATGCATTTCAACGATTTTCAATAGATCTACAAATCATTTTTATATATTTTCTCTACCATGATCTCTGGGAACTCTTAAGAATTAGTTTAAAACATTCTGGTATATATGTAGCAGTCTTAAATTTTGTTCTTTACCTTCTTTTTTATTTGTCATCTCGAACTACAAGATGGGTACAAATAAATTTAATAATAAATTTTAAAATTTTAAAAATGCTTTAAAGCTGAGGGTTTTTTTAAAAAAAAACCAATCTTTTTCAATGTGAATTAGTAAAACCCTGTTAAATTTGACTTTAACCATAGCAAAAACTATGGTTAATATAGTTTCACAAACTAGGATACCTTCGACAGCATTCCCTCTACCCCCTGCATATCAAATATTCTATGGTTTGGCATGATGCTCTGATTCATATTCATTTTCCTGGATGTGTGTTAACTATGTTGAATTCTTGAGTAATTTTATTCTGGTTCCATCTGCCTTGAGTGTACCTGTCTAGCTAAAAGTGTTCAAATTTAACACAAATGGTGGGCATCAGTTTGGGGAGGACTACACCAATTTTAGGTCTGGAAAAAGTGAAGTCTAAATTCAAAAGTAAAAAGATTACCTAACAGCTGATACATGTGTCCTTTCAATTTAACCACCCCTTTATATCTGTGATTACAAAATGCAAATCTTTTCATTCTTGATTTCATGTGCCAATTGATGTATATGTAAGGGGCTATTTCTAGTCAGCATATCCCATAATTGATGACATATGGGTGAAGGTTTTGGAATTTTTAAAATAGGATTCCTAATTACAACAACAGATCAGCCCCACATACAATCCTTCTTTCTTTTTGCTAAATTATAAGTAATCTCTTTACATTTTAGAGGCTTAAAAGCTAGATTCAAAATCTTTATGTGCCAGTATTTGTCACAACTGTAGTATATTCATTGCCTGAAATAATACAGAAAGGAATCATCTGTACCTTGTTAGGGATTTAGGCTCTTCTGCTTGATCTGCTTTGATCTACGTTTCTTGTTCTCTTGACATAAGATTGAAGATATGAAATTACTGCTATCAAGTAAGCATTTTTCTTAAGCACTACAGGTATTTGTGTAGCATCAATTCTACTTAAAATGCTAAAAGGTTTTTAAAGTGTGGTTGGAGAGGGTTCAGCTTTTACTGGTTCAGATGTACTATGATCTATCTTATACAATGTGCATGTATATTACAGTAGTTGTGTTGAATTGGATCTTCTCCAACCCTGTTAATTGGTATGTATTTCTGAATTTTCAATTAGGGATGCATGACGTATGGAACTGTATCACTTACAAAATCTCTTCTTCTTCCCCCCCCCCCATCCCAAACAGCTGCAGAAATACAAAGAATACTGAATCAACTTGGAACCCCACAAGACACACATGAATTGCGGCAACAGCTGTAAGTGCTTCATGAGATGACCTTTCATTTGGTTGCATTGTAGATAACTTCTCAATAAATGCTAGGATCTTATCAAAGCGCTTAGCATCTTAAAAACATTTGAGAACAAAATGAAAGAGAGGGAGCGAACATTTATCTGTTTATTGACATGTTAATACATCAAGTATATTGTTGGCATTGCCAGACACCCAGATCGAAACAATCTCCCCCCCCCCACCATTGAGCTAATGAAAGCCATTAAATTGATTCAGAAAGTTTGAACTACACGTTTGCTACCTTTGACATTTATCATTGAATGTTGCAGTCAAACTGCAATAAACTCAAAGTAAAGATTTTGTGAGCCTCTTTATGTATAAATACTAAATTTCTTTTGTAGATTTTATGTCATCAGTTTTGATCAATAACTATTCTTTTTATGAAATGAAATCTGCTTCAGCACTATTCAATTCTTTGCTTTTGATCTGCATTGAACTAAAGCCAGGAGTTATTTTGGACACATTCAGTAATAAACATCTATTTCCCAAAGGTTTATCTTAAAGACAGTTGATAGTGATACAGTAATGTTTGTAAAGTAAGCCAGCAAGTCACCTGTAACTTTCTCTCTTAGGCAACAAAAGCAGCAATATACAAATCAACTTGCGAAAGAGACAGACAAATACATAAAAGAATTTGGATCTCTGCCTTCAATAAGTGAGCAGGTATACGAACGTAGTGTTTGTATAAAAAGTTTGGGGTTTTTTTATAAAGTTTTGTTATTCTTCCAGTTCTGTGATATGTGCTTGCAAGCATTGATTCCTGAGGCAAATACAGGAAAACATACTAAAAGAAGTTGATGTATTTGTCACAATTAAAAAGCTAGATATTTCTGAACTGTTTGGATTATAGGATGGCCTGCCGATTATAATCATTATAACAGCACAGACTGTAAAATTATGCAATCATTCTATTGATGATTGATTGCTGGTTTTTTAGAATATGCAATTATGTGACTGTCAATGGTTACATTTGCAATATAGGAGTCTAATGATAAAACTATAACAAATATTTAGAACTATCTTCATATCATAGCATAACGTAGCATAGTATAACATAGCCATTGACTAGGTTGCTATCTTGGTGAATTAAAATCCAGAACAACTCTGTTTTTAAAAGTTGCCTCTTCTTTGCTTGGTGATGTGTGTTAAACAAGAGAGATAAAGGATAAAGATTAAAGAAACCCCAAATTCTGTGGCCTTAGTTCAAATTTCTGAAACAGCAGCTTTTTGATATCTAGCGACATCCCTCCAAATTCCTGAATTCCAACTCTTGATAGTAGATAGGAAACACACCAAATAAAAAACACATCTTGTTTCATGTTTAGGATAAAACACCCAAATTGAAAGGTTCCATCAATTTCTTTTAATTGGCTATGTTCTGATATGATAAATCTTGAAATTCTTTCAGAGATAATGAAATTTAGGATAAAGGCTGCAAAAGAAGGTGAAATGGCAGTCCATGCTGACTGCTACTGGACAATGTTGCTGAAACATTGGTGAATCTAGAGTATTTTTAAAAACAGTTTGTAAAATATTAAAATACTGTAAATCCCCAGAGGAACCAGGGGAATACAAGTCTGCTGTCACCTACTGAAAAAGCAGTTTGTTCAGGTTAGAATCTTTTATTGGTAGAGCTGGAGATTTTAATTTTAGCAAAGATGTACTATATTTTTAAGTTCTTTAAATAATTCCTGAACTACTGGGCTGACATATTAATAGGACAGAAAAGCTAACCTCTCAGCTGTTCTCACTTACTACTTCTCCTTGCCTGCAGATAAACAAACCAGGCAGATATGCACAAAATGTACTTTTTTAAAAACAAAATTTCTGTGAGAAGTTTCCTTAAAAGTGTTCATAAAAATGCAGCATCCTTTTGTTTGTAATAGCCATGTTATTCCACTAAGATCAGATAGAAAGTTTGGCATCTTCCCCCCATCCCACCCCGGAACTTTATTGTGATATTATAAGGGAAATTCTTGTTTGAGCATGTAAATGAATTGGTGTGTGTGTAATCTGATACTGTTTCTTAGCTTGTAGAATAACAGCCAAGAAAACAATCTCATTATTTGAATACATACTTAAGTTCTCTACTATAGCATAGAATCTTTTCAAAAGAGCAATAAGTGGCCTTGCAGACACTCTTGTGTAAGCAATTTCATTTTCTCTTGGTATGTGTTTAACCCATTGCTTTCTTCTCCATATTCTCTCCTACCTCATCCTCCCCTCTCTAAATTAATAGCAGTAGGGCAATTGCCAACTACTGATTTGACTAGACTTCGGGAAAAATCTTCACATCAAGAAGAGATGTGAGATTGGACTAAAATGCTTGAAATATGGATGTATTATTTTGAGATCAAAACAGGTGGCTGAAGGTTGAAATGTTTTGCATTGATAACTATTCTCTTGGGGGATGTTTATGTAAAAGATATATAGCATAACATTTGGTTTCGTTTTGTTTGTGCTGTAAATAGCCTCCTGGGCTTTTGAGAAAGGAGAAGTTAAGTTATTCATACTTTTTCATTTAAATTGATCCAGCACACGTGTTAGAAACAGATGTTCAGTTTATCAGTGGATTATATTTAATTAATTAGTTAGTTAGTTAAAACAAATTTATATGGCCACCCAAATCACACATAGATGACTCCAGGCAGCTTACAACATATAAAAATCCATAACATAAAAACCTATAATAGCAATAGTACTTAGACTTATCTACTGCTTCACAGTGCTTTACAGAGTCAGCATATTGCCCCCAACAATCTGGGTCCTCATTTTACTGATCTTGGAAGGCTGAGTCAACCTTGAGCCAATCAGGATCAAACTCCTGGCAATGAGCAGAGTCAATTACTGCATTCTAACCATTACGCCACCATGACTCCCTCTAACTCCTATAACCCCACCCTCACCTCCATGGCAGCAGCAATACAATCAATTCAATCACTTGATTGGCTCCTTCTCCATTCATGGTCCCGAGGTCCACTGACAAAACCATGTTTTTAGGCTACCACTGAAAAGATCCTTTTACGTGGTCCCATCAAATGTATTTCTAAAATCAATGGGACCCTGACTTCCTGTATATTTCTTGCATTCCTATTTACCTATCTACCAGATGTAGTATATAGTACCTAAAGTAGAGGGACTAGGACCAAAGAAACCTGTGTTGAATTATCTATTTGATAGTTCTCTTCTTGATGACTTTAGTTATTTCTCTACCCAAGTTACCCCACACAGTTGCAGGGGAAAAAAAATTAGAAGAGATATCCATGTACATCACCTTGAACTTCTAAAGGAAACGCAGAATATACATGTGGTTAATAAATATTCTGAGTATTTTAGCATAGAAGCTACTAGAATATGGATACCTTTGGGTAGGTCACAATTACCAAAAGATGTCTGTTTGAACTGGTTTGGCAGCCCTTAAAAGCACTCCCCATGTCCATTTAGATGTCTAAACATTTATACTTCCATACAATCCATTCAAAAAGGATTATGGGAATTTCACTGATGTGCAAAACTTTAGCATCTTTATAAAGAAAATAATTTTAATATCCGGGGATATTATAATAATAGTTGACCTTGTCATAAATAATGATGGTGAAGAAATTATTTTGCTTGCATTTTAATGTGAATCTCATCTCCACTTCTCTATATTCCCTAATTGAAATATAATTATATACACATATCCCCATTTTCCCACATTTTGCAATGCAATCTTGGAAAAGAATGAAAGAAAATGTGTATGTTGGGAATGTACATGAAGGTGAACATATTTTTTCTATGAATGTTAAAAAGAATTGCAAATGGGTATAAAATATTAATGATTTGGGTTCTGTGCTTCTTGGCTGCTTTGAGTTTTAACTTTTTTAATGTTTGTAATTATTTTTATTTTTATTTAATTTCGTTCACCACCTAAAGTCACTCATTGAGATGGGCGACCATCTAAACTGGATGGGTGGGTGGGAGGGTGGGTGGGTGGGTGGGTGGGTGGATGGATAGATAGATAGATAGATAGATAGATAGATAGATAGATAGATAGATAGATAGATAGATAGATAGAAACTGAATTGAAATCAACATATGTATTAAATACATACATATTTAAATTATATACTTTATAAAACTACATAAAAAGAATTGACAGAGTGATTGAATTTTTAGAAGTTTGACACTCATTTTAAAGAAAGGATTTGATTTCCATTGGAATGAGACATGGAATTGTATAGAACAATTCTTTGCTGGGTGCACACATTACGTTATAGTGTAATATAACGGTATCATATGATACGTGAAGCCAGTCTAAAGATAGAGGCCTGTCAAATTCCAATAGTAGAACATTGTATAAAATTAAATTTCTCCAAAGTTCAGCAGATTGGTTAAAGAACTGGTTTGGGGTGAAATTACTTTGATTTCTTTGTTTGCCTTCTTTGTTCAGCGACAGAGAAGAATTCAAAAGGATCGACTAGTGAATGAGTTCACCACAACACTTACAAATTTCCAGCGGGTCCAAAGACAAGCTGCTGAGAAGGAGAGAGAATTTGTAGCAAGAGTTCGAGCCAGTTCTAGAGTATCAGTAAGTATAAATGAATTAATCCACACTTTCACTAATTCTGGAAAATATTGAAAGAAGTGGGATAGATCAGGGGTGTCAAACTCAATTTCATTGAGGGCCGCATCAGCATTGCAGTTGCCCTCAGGAGGCCAGGTGGGTGTGGCCAGGGTGGGTGCAGCCTACTGAGTGTGGCCTACTGGGTGGGAGTGGCCAGCTCTACATCGTTTGTGTCAAGGCTGCCTGTGGGGGCCTGGGCAGAAGTGGGGCAGATCTGAGGGTCTCTGGAAGAAGGGGATGGGACCAGGGCAAGTGCCAAGACATGGTCCACTGGAGGAGCCTCACTGTTCCTCTCAGGCCATGCGGGGGGGGGGCTTATGGAGCTAAGACTGAATGCATTTCAGCATAGATGGCCACCACAAAATTGTACATTGGCTCCTGGCTGGCTTGGGCCAGGGCCAAGACAGAGGGGGCTATTCCCTCACTGTTTCCAGGATGGCTTCGCGGGCCACATGAAACCACTTTGCAGGCCGCATCTGGCCCCTGGGCCTTGTGTTTGACATGTCTGGGATAGATGATACCATTTTTTTTCTCATTACAATGTATGTTTTAGAGTGCATGATGTACAGTAGAAATCTCATTTCTGTGCAATCCATTACTAAAGTCCATTTAGGAAATGCAATAACAGTCAAATGCCAGATCTTCTGGAATCACAATAAATTATAGTTAGATAAATAGAGGAAATAACTTGGGAGATTTTATTGTGTCCAGGAATCATGCCAGCCCAAGTCGGATCTGAATACAGGATGGACCAAAAAGGAAGACTCTCAGCCTTATTTTTTGTCAGTGTGTGGGATTTACAGAAACCTGAATAGAATAGATAACACTGTATGATGTGCAGGTATTTGATATTATACTTGCCTAAGGAAATACTTAACTTAAGATTCTCTGCATGTTTTTTTTTTCTTCTGTTCAATTATATCTGATTCTTAGACACTACCTGGACAAATCTCTACAAGTTTTCTTGGCAAGGTTTTTCAGAAATGGTTTGCCAAGGCCATCCTCCTGGGATTGAGAGAAAGTAACTGATCCAAAGTCACCTAACTGGCTTTGTGCTTAAGGCAGGACTAGAACTCATAGTCTCTTGGTTTCTAGTTAACCAATACACCAAATTGTCTCTCTAATCATTGCTTTCTGCTATTTTTTTTCTATGAAGTTGAAGTCTGCATTGAGCAGTGAATCCTAAGCAGTTATTATGGAACTGGGAAGTGTATTAACTTGATCCTTCTTTAGGTGAATTTAAAACTGATAGACTATTTTAATCTCTTCATCTTATACAACCTCCTGCTCCCTCCCCCAAAAAGCCATTATCGAGGATTGGGATACGGGATAAAACTGCTGCTATGGAAGGAAAGAATAATCTAAGATTGGATCACTCTTGCACTCATCTCACAATATTTAGAGGAATTTCCCAATCAACCCTCAAGGGTGTTCGGGATCACAATAATCAGAAAAGGCAGTTTAATCTTCAATCTGCAGGAGATCCTATTTTACATTACTGTTGTAAGCAATTACATCTAACCTTATCCCAATTGTTTTTCCTTGCACATTATAAGAACTGTCTGATGTCCTAGACCAGATATGTCAAACTCGTGAGGTCGCGTCACGAGTATTGGAACTTTTTCCCCATTGCCAGCAGTGGGGTGGGCGCGGTTTCCTCGTGACACATCCGGCCCACGGGCCTGCAGTTTGACACCCCTGTCCTAGAAAGATCCCCACCCTTGTTTTTTGAAAATAGGAAAATAAAATGTCCCCAAGCCTCTCATATGGCTAGTCTCCAACCTCCATGATGTCTCTCTTCTGTTTTGCCTTCATTCTCTGTCTTTCAGTTCCTCATTGCTATTTTTAATCAGAAAGATGCTGAGTACATTCTTAAATTTTCAGTATTAGGCCCTAGTCTAAATCACACTTGTGTTTGGATTTGGGCATCACACAGTGTTGAATGCTTGTGCTACACCAATCTTCTAATATCAGACTCTGGAATTACATTTCATAATCCCCTTGATCTCTTCTTGTTATATCAGAGTTTAATTTGGGACTACAGTTCAGTCCTCCAGATCTGTTATTTTATCTGATTAAGTGCTAAATTTTTGCTGGTGAGCACTGAAGTACATTTAACTCCCCTTCCAAAGTTGTAACCTGTTATTTTTATATCATTTGACAGGGTGGTGCCCCAGAAGAAAGTTACAAAGAAGGAACCCTTGTATCTTGGGATAGGTAAGAAATATGATAGAATATAAAATCATTCCACTTAAAAAATATTGAAGTATGAAAAAAATACAATAGCAATAGCATTTAGCAATAGCACATAGATTTATATACCGCTTCACAGTGCCTTACAGCCCTCTCTAAGCTGTTTACAGAGTCAACATATTGCCCCCAACAATCTGGGTCCTCATTTTATCAACCTCAGATGGATGGAAGGCTGAGTCAATCTTGAGCCAGTCAGGATCAAACTGCTAGCAGTGAAAGGCAGGGTTAGCCTGCAATACTGCATTCTAACCAATGCACCACCATGGCTCCTTATTAGAGATATAAATCCTTGCGTCTCTAATAAGCAACAATAATACAACACTACTGTATTACAAAGTATACTGTGATTTTAACTTGATATGCTGGTTTTTTTTTTCAGAATTACATTAATGATTTTTTTCCTCATTGTTAACGTGAATCATTCGAAAGTCCCTGTTTGAATGGTTTGTCTCCCATCATTATTGTCTGCAATTTGAAGAGAAATTGGAAGATTGATAGGAGTGGGGGATTAGCTGTAAGAGCCAAAGGCATTGCCCTCTAGTGTACAAACATGAGAATCATGCTAGTATAGTAACATAATATGTAATGGGGGGGGGAGCAGATTTTGAGGATTGTTATAGTAGTAGTCAATTTTCAATGCTGGTACTGCTAGTACTTATTTTTCATTTAAGAAGGTGTTCTTCCCTTTCCTATAAGTGTATACAGGGTTTAGGAACCAAACTTCCACATCTGGGACAACTATTGTTCCACATAGTTTTCTCCAAAACACATTCAGTAAAATGGGCTGCGTAAACTACCTTTCCGAGCACAAGTAGTTAGAAACCATATACATCTTATTCTCTTGTTATGTTCATTTTTAAAGTAAATAATGTACATGTATGTTAGAAAAATCTGTTGAGCCCAATATGCTAAAAATCTGATTAAGCTCTGTGAAACAAATTAAGTGCAGCATCGATTAAAAGCCCCATGGGAGTATTAAAAAAGCTGGGGTTTTTTTTTTTTTTATAAAACTCTTAAAATAGTGACATATACGCTTTACTGGAACATAGGACAAATCTTAACAGAAAAAGTCTGCATCTTGCTCCACCAATGTATTTCAGAGAAGTGTTCCAGAGCAGCAGTAGACAGGAAAGGAGAATTTATTTGGAGGCAATCTAGTTATCTTGATTTTTGCATTAAGGTTCAATGGGCTGAAAAAACACAACATAGAAAACATTTTCTGTCAGGATAGCCTCCTTGAGTTCCAATAACAAGGATGTTTGGGAAGCTGCCTCCCCAGCTTTTCCTTCTCTTCACTATAGGTAATCCTCGATTTATGATCAGTTGTTTAGCAACTGTTTGAAGTTAAGGTGGACATATCTGGGAGGAGTACTTACATCACAGATTCAAACTTCCGATGGTTGCCGCTCTTCCATGGCCACACGACTACACTTCAGGCACTCAGTAACTTCCCCACATTTGTGACCATTTGAGTCCCATGGTCACATGACAGCATTTTACTATCGATTGCCAAAAACTAGCATTTGCAAAACTGGCCCATAGCAACCCTTGGATTTGCTTAATGACCACCACCCAAAAAAGTCATAAAATCAGGTCAGTCTTCGCTTTACAACCATCACAAGTTATGACTGTGGTGTGCTGTATTATGGTCATAACTCAAGGACTACCTGTAACCTTAGTCTCCCCCATGACTCAAAAGTTAATGTAATGCTTCCATTGAAGGGTCTATATAGGATTGCAATTTGATAAACAATGACGAAATGCATCCCAAAATTTCTTGAGAAGAAGCCTTTAAGAAGTATCTTGTAATTGGAATTTAAAAAAGGATGCTGTGCTTCTTTTTATGAGAGATTGAACTGTTAGATTCTTAGTAAGTTGGAATATTGGGACGATTGCTTGTACCCATTACTCACTTTGAGGTTAATGTACTGAGGTGTTTTGTGTATGTTTAACCCAAAGCCAACCTCAGACCCAAGTACTAGATGAAGAAATCACAGAAGATGATCTTCGGCTCATTGAAGAAAGAGAATCAGCCATCAGGCAGCTGGAGGTGAGCATTGGCTGTTGAGATCAAGAACAAGATGTGATTTATCATATTATATCCATGAACTAAAACAGCTTGAGATGGAGCTTGTTGCCCTTTAAGCTAATAGCTCCTATAATTAATGAATAAGAACCACATTGCTCAGGACATCACATAGCATTACCATTACTTTACAAGAGTTTAAAGTTTGCTTTCTTCATGGATACCAAAGTGTCATTAAAATGGTCTTTCATAATCTTGAACCTTGAAGATCTGCTAGAATGTCAATTCCCATTGGAGGTTAGATTCTGATTCCTAAGACAAATGGATTTCCCCAGTTTGGGGGTAAATACCGCTATCGAATAACCTAAGCGTAATCTACACACTCAACAGAGAACTTGCTAAGACAAAAGTACACCAATTTTGTAAAATCCAAAGACTTTGAATTAACTAAGACTATGGAACCAGAGATACTAGATACGTCTGTCCCCATTATTGTTATATGATATAAACATGAATTAAATAATTGCCTCAGAATTCTTGTAAGTTTTGTATTCTTGCTCATGAAGTCTGTGATTTGTAAATAATTTTATTGGAAGAATTAAGTCTAAAATTGTATTTTAAAAAAGATAGGAAATGAACAAAGTCATGTTCATACTTATGTTCAGCATTTGAAACACATTTATTCTGCTTTCTACTTGTTATTTTTCATTCTTCTTATTTTTGCTTTTAATTAAATAATATGCACACAAATATACAAAGGTTTCTCTGTAATATTGATACAGGTCACACACACGCACACACACAAACACATATACTATATTGCACTGTTATCTGTATATAATCTCTGTTAATAAGCAACTCATTCATAATTTTTATCCTACCCTTCAAATTTACATTCTCCAATGATGGTTTTCTAATCTCCTCAAACATTACCATATTACAAATTGAAAATTGCTTACAAACTAGATGTCTCATCAAAACATCTCTGTCCTGTGTTTGTTTCCTCTGTTCTTTCTACTCTAAATTACTTGCAGTTTATTTCTGTGATTGCATTATACTTATTTGAACATTGTTTTAATACAGTTTCTTTCTTTGTAGTCAGACATTCTTGACATAAATGAAATATTTAAAGATTTGGGTATGATGATTCACGAACAAGGAGATGTGATAGGTAAGCAGAGGTCAACCTTTTGAGATCTTGCTTTTTTGTCGCATTTGGGCATGTTTGTTATATTGTATTAGATGAGTTCAAATCGCCAGGACCAGATGGATTACACCCCAGAGTTCTCAAGGAACTGGCAGATGTAATATCGGAGCCACTGAACTATATTTTTCAAAGATCCTGGAGCACAGGGGAACTACCAGAGGACTGGAAAAGAGCTGATGTAGTTCCCATCCTCAAAAAAGGAAAAAAAATGGATCCAGGGAATTACAGACCTATCAGCCTGACCTCAATACCTGGGAAGATCCTGGAAAAGATAATCAAACAACGAATCAACGAACACCTAGAGGCAAACAAAGTCATTACTAAAAGCCAACATGGGTTTGTCAAAAATAGATCATGCCAGACAAATCTTATTGCATTCTTTGACCAAGTGACAAAATTAGTGGATCAGAGGAATGCTGTGGACATAATTTACTTGGACTTCAGTAAGGCATTTGATAAAGTAGATCACAACCTACTACTTGACAAGATAGAAAAACGTGGGGTAGACAGAACCACCACCAGATGGATCCGTAGCTGGCTGACCGGCCGTACTCAGCGAGTGGTCCTCAATGGAACTGCATCTATATGGAGGGAAGTGTGTAGTGGGGTGCCCCAGGGCTCTGTTCTGGGCCCAGTACTCTTCAACATCTTCATCAATGATTTGGATGAAGGGATAGATGGGGAACTCATCAAATTTGCAGATGACACCAAGCTGGCAGGAATAGCCAACACTCCAGAAGACAGGCTTAAGATACAGAAGGATCTGGACAGACTTGAACACTGGGCACTAACTAACAAAATGAAATTCAATGGTGAAAAAAGCAAGGTTCTACATTTAGGCAAGAAAAACCAAATGTACAAGTACAGTATAGGTGGTTCCATGCTCAATAGTAGTAACTGTGAGAGGGATCTCGGAGTCCTAGTGGACAATCACTTAAATATGAGCCAGCAGTGTGCTGCAGCTGCCAAAAAAGCCAACACAGTGCTAGGCTGCATTAACAGAGGGATAGAATCAAGATCACGTGAAGTATTAATACCACTTTACAATGCCTTGGTAAGGCCACACTTGGAATACTGCATCCAGTTTTGGTCAGCACGATGTAAAAAAGATGTTGAGACTCTAGAAAGAGTACAGAGAAGAGCAACAAAGATGATTAGGGGACTGGAGGCTAAAACATATAAGGAACGGTTGCTAGAATTGGGTATGTCTAGTTTAACGAAGAGAAGGACAAGGGGGGACATGATAGCAGTATTCCAATATCTCAGGGGCTGCCATAAAGAAGAGGGAATTAAGCTATTTTCCAAAGCACCTGAAGGCAGGACAAGAAGCAACGGGTGGAAACTAATCAAGGAGAGAAGCAACCTAGAACTAAGGAGAAACTTCCTGACAGTTAGAACAATTAATCAGTGGAACAGCTTGCCTCCAGAAGCAGTAAATGCTCCAACACTGGAAGTTTTTAAGAAGAGACTGGACAGCCATTTGTCCGAAATGGTGTAGGGTTTCCTGCCCGAGCAGGGGGTTGGACTAGATGACCTCCAAGGTCCCTTCCAACTTTACTATTATTATTATTATTATTATTATTATTATTATTATTATTATTATTATTATTATTATTATTATTATTATTATTAGCTTTTACAAGTATAAATGTTGTAGCAGTTGAGGAAAATCTAGAATTATTTTAGGGGAAAGACTTGCATTAAGAGGAATTGTGGTATACTAGGAATCTGAAATGAGATTAATTCAAAAAGCTTAGCTGCATCATGGTCCTTGAACATGTTATATAGCTAGGATGAGAGTTTTAGCCCAAATTACATGGGAGGGTTAAGGAATGCCTTGTTCATTTTCAGTATAATACCAGCTGTCATGCAGGTACTTTATGTAACAGCAGGTGCTCTCTTTCTTTGGGAACAAGAATATTGAAGAGTTAGAATTTATTAAACTGTTCCCTAGAATTTTTCAGGTTTTCCTGAAGCTTTACTTCTTGTAGTCTTACTCTACAGAGAATTCAGATCAAAGAGTTAAAATGATCAGGATGAATAGCAAAATTGTTAGAAGTATTCTAGTTTAATTATATATATATATATACACATATATACATACATACATATATATGTTTTCTGAGGTTTTCGCGGGTATTTGTATGTAGGTCTTTGGTTGTTCGGGTTTTCTCCCGCGTAAAATTGGAAGTGTCTTGGCGACGTTTCGACAAAGTCCCATTCGTCATCTTCAGGCTGGTGTTTTCAGCTTCGTGCTTTGAGCAGCAAGATTTCTCTCTCCCATATTTGGGCAACAGGGTGTAGCATACAGCATTATATATATATATATATATATTTTGAGATTTTCGCGGGTGTTTGTATGTAGGTCTTTGGTTATTCGGGTTTTCTCCTGCATAAAATTGGAAGTGTCTTGGCGACGTTTCGACGAAGTCCCATTCATCATCTTAATTCATGCACAGGATATATATAAGCAATGAGGTTTTTAAAGTATCTTTTATTACATTGTTTATGCACAGCTCATTTCGTAAAATAGTTGTGATTATAATACAGGAAGTGAGATCCATAATAAAAAGAAGTAGGGTATATAGGAAACTATGCTTCAAAGCAAGGACAACAGTGGGCTCAACTAAAATGCCAGTCATTGCAGATTCTTTTTCTCCCCTCAACCCCATAATTTACATGTATTCAAGGTAGCTTTTTAAGGGTTTAGTCTCTTTCTTGATTCCTATTGTTGGGGACAGAAAACACACATTTTCCTGGTATCAGGATACTGTTACTGGCATTTTCAGCAGCATCTGCACAGATAGTCCTGGGCTTATGACTACAATTGGGACCAAAATTTTTGATGCTAAGTAAGGCAGTTGTTAAGCAAGTTGTGCCTTATTTTACAATCTTTTTGCCATGGCTGTTAAGTGAATCAGTGCAGTGGTTAAATGAATTATGCAGTCATTAAACAAATCCAGCTTCCCCCATTGACTTGACTTATCAATAGCCAACTGGGAAGGTGATGACAATGACCGCAGGTCATTGCAACTACTGTACATGCATGCTGGTTACCCAGTTCCCAAATTTTGATCCTGCAGGAACATTAGAACAATTATAAGTGCAAGGACGGGTCATAAATCACTTTGTTCAGTGTTGTTGCAACTTCAAATCTTACTAAGCAAATGGTTGTAAGTCGAGGACTACCGCATTGGAAGAGGCACTGAGGCTCAGTGGTTTAATGACACTGTAGATGGTTTCTGTTCCAATGGTTTGAATTTTAGCATTGCGTGTCACTTATCTCAGCTTCTATCCACCTAAAAGTTTGAAAACATGTTCTATGTCAGTAGTGGTGAACCTATGGCATGGGTGCCAGAGGTAGCACTCGGAGCCCTCTCTGTGGGCACGCATGCCGTTGCCCCAACCCCGCACCCCCATGGCCCCCTTTTCAACAGCAGCCCTCTGGAGGAGAGTCACCCTGGGCATAGCCTGTGCAGAGCAGCGCAGCCAAGGATATGGCAGCCGGGCAGTGGGGATAAGACTCTACCTTTGTGCCCCATCATGTACAGATGATGCTGCGGAGTGCAGGCAGAGGGCATGGCTGCCATGACGCTGCTGGGCCGCCTGGGCGATCTGCTGTGGCAGGCCGTGAAGTTGGTAGATGGCCCTGCGGGCAGGAGATGCAGGGACAGGGCAGGGGTGAGGCGGTTTTTGGTCAGTTGGTCTCTAAAAGGTTCGCCATCACTGTCCTATATGAATAGGTAAACTAGGTACCACTTTGTGGGTGGAGGACAAGCTGGTGCTCCATGCAGGCAGTCAGATTCCTACCCTCTGAAACTTCCCAGTTGCAGTACCCCATTTGCAAGGCAACTCTGGGGGGGGGGGAAGAGTTTTTGGATGACACTACAGGAAGAGCCACTTGTATTTTTTTCTGGTGCAAAGTCAGCTCGCCCTCTTGTGGCGCACTATGGGAAGTGTGCAAGCATTTCCTACAACAGAGCTGGTACCTTGGCAGCCAAACTACTACTCTGCAATTGCACTGTAGTTTCCTAACTAATGTAACAATGCCATATGAAGATGATGATGATGGTGGTGGTGGTGATGGTGGTGGTAGTAGTAGTAGTAGTAGTAGTAGTAGTAGTAGTAGTAGTAGTAGTAGTAGTAATACCTGTACTGGAACATATACCGTTGTCCTTGGTTTTAATTTAATATATTTTTCAAACAATTGTTCTTGGAATTATCTCAAAAGTTACAAAAGGGATCTAAAAATATAAAGTCTCAGAGCAAGATGTTTCTGCATGCATGTCAATTGTAGAGGACAGATTGTAATGTTTTTTTCTCCTTTCTCAAAGATAGCATAGAAGCTAATGTAGAAACAGCTGAAGTCCACGTTCAGCAAGCAAACCAGCAGTTATCGAGAGCAGCAGAGTACCAGGTAAACGTTATCATAAGCAAAAATAGTACATATAGTCCTCATTTAGTGACTGCAATTGGTTCTGATGACTTAGTCATTAAGTGAAATGATTGCTAATTGAACATGTGATACTGGGGAGGGAGAGAAAGATGCTGCCACATCATTGGTTGCTACTGTTTCATTTAGATAAAGTTCCGTGGGGCCTTTGGTGCTGTCTGACCTTGGTATTTTTCTTGCAGACTTTTCATTACCAAGCTAGTTGGTAATGAAATAAGTATGTTTTATGCATACTTGGGCAACAACTGCACAACACTAACTTTGATATAAAATTCCAGTGAAAAGTAAATTTGATTTTCAATCATCCAGATTCTGGAAAAAATATATCTAACCTGGCACAAAAATTACCGTAATTTCCGGTGTATAAGACGACTTTCTAAAGCCTGAAAATCTTCTCAAAAGTCAGGGGTCGTCTTATACGCAGGAATATACGGGTAGCTGTTCTCTGAATTTAAAACCAATCTGCCCCCTAGTGGCCAGCCCTATTTTTTTACAGAAATAAGCACTAACAAGACAAAGCTTTCTAGCAGCAAAGGAGCTCCTATTGTGCTCATCTATAAACAGAAATTCAATATTGTACTGTATTTTCTGGCGTATAAAATGACTTTCTAAAGCCTGAAAATCTTCTCAAAAGTTGGGGGTCGTCTTATACGCCCAGTCGTCTTATACGCCGGAATATACGGTAGTGGATTTTGATGCCACCTGCCAATGCTGGAAAATCTCTGAATAGGAGTCTCTCCTTGCATGGCATCTGTCAAGACTCTTTATTTAAATGGGGCAGAGTATCCTCCCCTGAACATGAGGTGCTCCTTGTCAGACGCTGGATCGTTTAGTGACTAGCTGCCATTTGAGAGCTTATGCAGAAGGAAAAACAGATTTTCTCCAATTAACAAACAATAAATTGCCTAGATATTAATATATAGAAGACTTATTCCATTCTCATGAACCAACGTACTTCAAAGTGTAACTTATATACAGTGGGGGGAGAAGTATTTTCCCTAACTGATTTTGCCCACTGACAAAGAAATAATCAGTCTATAATTTAATGGCAGGTTTATTTTAACAGTGAGAGACAAAATAATAACAAAAAAATCCAGAAAAACGCATTTCAAAAAAGTTATAAATTGATTTGCATTTTAATGAGTGAAATAAGTATTTGAACCCTTATCAATCAGGAAGATTTCTGGCTCCCAGATGTCTTTTATACAGGTACCGAGCTGACATTAAGAGCACTCTCTTAAAGGGAGTGCTCCTAATCTCAGCTTGTTACCTTTATAAAAGACACCTGTCCACAAAAACAATCAATCAATCAATCAGATTCCAAACTCTCCACCATGGCCAAAATCAAAGAGCTGTCCAAGGATGTCAGTGACAAGATTATAGACCTACACAAGGCTGGAATGGGCTACAAGACTATCACCAAGCAACTTGGTGAGAAGATGACAACAGTTGGTGTGATTATTCGAAATGGAAGAAACACAAAATAACTGTCAATTTCCCTCGGTCTGGGGCTCCATGCAAGATCTCACCTCATGAAGTTTCAGTGATCATGAGAACAGTGAGAAATCAGCCCAGAACTACATGGGAGGATCTTGTCAATGATCTCAAGGCAGCTGGGACCATAGTCACCAAGAAAACAATTGGTAACACACTACGCCGTGAAGGACTGAAATCCTGCAGCACCCACAAAGTCCCCCCGCTCAAGAAAGCACATGTACAGGCCCGTCTGAAGTTTGCCAATGAACATCTGAATGATTCAGAGGGAGAACTGGGTAAAAGTGTTGTGGTCAGGTGAGACCAAAATCGAACTCTCTGGCATCAACTCAACTCGCCATGTTTGGAGGAGGAGGAATGTTGCCTATGACCCCAAGAACACCATCCCTACCGTCAAACATGGAGGTGGAAACATTATACTTTGGGGGTGTTTTTCTGCTAAGGGGACAGGACAACTTCATTGCATCAAAGGGACAATGAAAAGGGCCATGTACTGTCAAATCTTGGATGAGAACCTCCTTCCTTCAGCCAGGGCATTGAAAATGGGTCATGGATGGATATTCCAGCATGGCAATGACCAAAACACACGGCCAAGGCAATAAAGGAGTGGCTTGAGAAGAAGCACATTAAGGTCCTGGGGTGGCCTAGCCAGCCTCCAAACCTTAATCCCATAGAAAATCTGTGGAGGGAGCTGAAGGTTTGAGCTGTCAAACGTCAGCCTCAAAACCTTAATGACTTGGAGAGGATCTGCAAAGAGGAGTGGGACAAAATCCCTCCAGAAATGTGTGCAAACCTGGTGGCCAACTACAGGAAACATCTGACCTGTGTGATTGCCAACAAAGGTTCTGCCACCAAATACTAAGTCATGTTTTGCGAACGGATCAAATATTTATTTCACTCATTAAAATGCAAATCAATTTATAACTTTTTTGAAATGGGTTTTTCTGGATTTTTTTTGTTGTTATTCTATCTCTCACTGTTAAAATAAACCTACCATTAAAATTATAGACTGATCATTTCTTTGTCAGTGGGCAAACATACAAAATCAGCAGGGGATCAAATAATTTTTTACCCCACTGTATAACTTCTTGAATTCCACATGCCTTACAAAATGGGCTACATATTTCCATCATATGTGCACCATAGTATTATGTCCTCCTTTTATATATTTTTACTACTGTCATCCGCATACAGGTAATCCTTGACTTACAACAGTTCACTTAGTGACCTTTTAAAATTACAGCGTAATTGAAAAAAAGTGACTTATGATCGTGTTTCACATTGACAACCATTGCAGCATCCCAATGGTCACATGATCAACATTTGGATGCTGGGCAACTGGTTCATATTTATGACAGATGCAGTGTCCTGGGGTCATGTGATACACCTTTTGTGATATTTTGGCAAGCTAAGTCAATGGAAAAGCCAGATTCACTTAACGAGCCTAATTTAACAACCGCAGTGATTCACTTAACAACTGTGGTAAGAAAGGTCATAACATGGGGCAACATTCATTAAACAACTGTCTCTCTTAGCAACAGAAATTTGGGGCTCAATTCTGGTCATAAGTTGAGGACTACCTGTGCTCTGTGCCATACCCTAAATCAGAGGCCCCCAACCTTTTGGGCACCAGGGACCGGTTCCATGGAGAGAGTTTTTTCCACAGACCGGAGGGGGCGTGGTTTTGTGAGCTGCCTGCATCCCGCAGATGGGGCTTCGCTTATTTGTGGGGACCAGTTGCAGGCATGCCGTGGTCCGATACTGGTCCACAGACAGGAGGTTGGGGACCCCTGCGCTAAATAAATAAATTGGTGTGGAGGGAATCTATGGCATAAAAGCCCAATATTGAAACAGGCAAAAGCATCTTATTGAAGCACTCATTTGAGAGAGATTGAATGTGATAGAATGTGTATTCCTGTACCTAACAGTATCCTCCTTTTTTTTTTTTTTTTTTTTTTACTCTCATTCAGCGCAAGTCCCGGAAGAAAATATGCATCCTCATTCTTATACTTGCAATAGGATTAACGGTCCTTGGGTTAATTATATGGGCATCATTAAAGTCAGGTTAAATTATGCAAGAGCTTCTGGTCATGTCCCATTATGAAAGCTGTTCAGTAAATGATATGTCAAGCTTGATAATTTCTGCTTTATCACAAGGTGCATTTTTAATCCCAAGAGTGCTTTTTCTTGGCTTCTATATTAGGATTAATTTGAAGTTATCACGTCTATCTAATTCACCAATATTTAACCCTGGGATAGGCAAGTTTTTATATAGTACCTCCTTTTCATTTCTTCTCCTCTGGGCCAAACTACTTGGAATACTGCATACAAGGACATTTTTACCTTATTGGATCAACTGGGTCAACCTTTCACAAGTGGATCAAAAGCTAGATAGAGGGTGGGTGCTGTCAGTTGTCAAGCACCAATTTAATCTATCAATTTAACTGCAACTTTATAGGAACAAATACTTTTTTAAAAAACAAAGGCTGTCTTTCTGATAGACATGTCATATGTCTCATCTTTGAGATATCACGTATCGTTTATTGACTCCATAAATCATAGAACGATCTACGTCCATTTAGTTCACTCTGTGCCAAGCTTAGTTCTAATAGGTTCTTGTATTGTCATTTTCTGAAATGCATTTCTGCTGTTTCTCTTTTGCTTATAAACGTCGTCTTTCTATTGCCACATTTCGATGTATAAACATGATACTGGGTATCAGCAAGCCTGACCAATTCTCATTGAACAAGAAAGCTTGGGGAATGTAGATTTGTGTATGTAACTTTAAAGTTGAGCATTTGGGACACACTTAAAATTAGTTGTTTGCACCTTCATTTGTGCACTCCTTAGGCAGTTGAAGTTTAAAGGCTATGGGCAAAGTTAACATGTATAGCTGCTGCAAATTTACCTAAACTTTATATGGTTTAGATGCCCGTAGTCTGCACTTCTCTCTTTAGAGAACTATTGTTAATTATGTTGTGGGACACAACTGAATGAGGCAGTGGGAGCTCTGTGAGTGGATTGAGTCACGGATCTGAAATCCTACATTCCTGTGTATATTTGTGACCCACAGGGCCCCCAAGAAACTTTTAAACTGGGAGTGAAACATAGTCAAATCATCTGGCTCCCTATCTGCATGACTTCAGATTAAAGGGGGAGATCTTGCGTAGAGCAATCAAGAACAATTTGAATTATACTTGAACTATTTCAAACAACTGCCACTATGAACAGCAGATCTTATATCCAATTTTTAATAAAGCAGTTAATCCTCTTTTCCTCATCATGTAACTACTTGGGTATTAAAACGTTTGATTTCTGAATAACTATATAAAGTTTAATTGTCTCAAGATTAAAAGTTTTTAAAACTGCTTTTTTGGGTGCCATCTTGAGATAACTTAAATTTAGAAAGATGTTATTTGCCAGCTAATCAGTTCTTTGCTTTTTTAAAATGTATTGAATTGTACTATATAAATTAAACTTATTAAATTACTATATAAATGTTACATTTTTGTACAGCAGTTTACAGGATAAACTCTTGAGACTTAAGATTTGGGGGGAACTAAAACTAAACCTGGATTATACCATCTAAATAAAGATACCTTAAAAAGTGAACATGTTGCTGTTTATGTTTTGTTGTTATATCTTATGTATAACATTTTGGAAGGAGGGGAGATCATAGGATGAAACATCCTCCAGAAAAAGAACACCAACAAGGCTAGGAAAAATAATACTGCATTATTTGAATTTTCTACAGATGTCCTGATGGTGGTAGTGCTGTTACACTGCTTCTCTTTTATAGATGGGTCTTTGCCATAAGGCAGTCCCCTTGTCTCAAGGGACCCTAGCAATTTAGCTAAAGATCATACATGCAATATTTCCCCTCGTGCAGAGAGTCAACTACAATTCTGTTTGTCATTTTACAGGAAAAAAAAAATGTAAAAGCTATATCACTAAGAACTCTCCGGTCTAAATTTCTAAAAGCACATTTGAGCCTTGGGAGAACCAGAACACATTTTGGTTAAGTTCCCTGAACATAAATAGAAATTGCCTAGATTAATTAATCTGTGTTTTTGTCCTTGCATTCTGCTTACATGGCACAAACATTTCTTACTAATTATTTCTGACAGACATGAACTCATGATGTCTCCTCTACTTCATTCTCCACCCACTGCTGAGGCAATGTAGAATCATCATTAGTTGTTTGACTATGGAAAGGGTGGCTTTTTTTTTCCGGGACTGTGACCTGCTCCATTCTAAATGGCCATATAAGAACCTTCCTTCCTATCCGGTGACTGGACAATGCAAGTTTACATCCATTTTGTCTCAGCTGCATATGAGACTCTCCATTTAACTTCATTTTTTCCCCAGTATTCTAGGCTTTATTAATAGGAATATCAACCTAAAGGGAGGCTGGTACTTTAAGAATCAAGGTTAATGTACCCATGGAAGCCTCTTTAGGTCCAGGGCCACCTCTAGACATTTTGGTGCACTAGGCGAAGTCATATTCTGACATCCCCTATAGCTTGATTCATCTTCTGGCTTTGAATTTCAGGAAGGATCCCTCTAGGGATTTTGTTTTTAGTTTTTGAGTTTTATATTAAAGATTTTCAGTTTTTCCCCCCTTTTCTCTGATATGTTCATCATATTTACTATATAATAATAAATAATAATAACAACAACAACAACAATAATAATAATAGTTGGAAGGGACCTTAGAGGTCATCTAGTCCAACCCCTTGCTCAGGTAGAAACCCTATACCATTTCAGACAAATGGCTGTCCAGTCTCTTCTTAGAAACTTCTAGCGTTGGAGCATTCACAACTTCTGGAGGCAGGTTGTTCCACTGAGTAATTGTTCTAACTGTCAGGAAATTTCTCCTTAGTTCTAGGTTGCTTCTCTCTTTGGTTAGTTTCCATCCGTTGCTTCTTGTCCTGCCTTCAGGTGCTTTGGAGAATAGCTTGACTCCCTCTTCTATGTGGCAGCCCCTGAGATACTGGAATACTGCTATCATGTCACCCCTCGTCCTCTCTTCATTAAACTAGACATACCCAATTCCAGCAACCGTTCCTTATATGTTTTAGCCTCCAGTCCCCTGATCATCTTTGTTGCTCTTCTTTGTACTCTTTCTAGAGTCTCAGCATCTGTTTTACATCGTGGTGACCAAAACTGGATGCAGTATTCCAAATGTGGCCTTACCAAGGCATTGTAAAGTGGTATTAACACTTCACATGATCTTGATTCTATTCCTTTGTTAATGCAGCCTAGCACTGTGTTGGCTTTTTTGGCAGCTGCAGCACACTGCTGACTCATATTTAAGTGATTGTCCACTAGGACTCCGAAATTCACAGTTACTACTATTGAGCAAGGTGCCACCTATACCAGGGGTAGTCAACCTTGGCTCTTTTATGACTTTGGACCTCAATACCCAGAATTCCTGAACCAGCCATGCTGACTCAGGAATTTTGGGAGTTGAAGTCCACAAGTCATAAAAGAGCCAAGGTTGTCTACCCCTGACCTATACTATACCGGTTCATTTGGTTTTTGTTGCCAAAATATAGAACTTACTTTTTTCACCATTGAATTTCACTTTTTTAGCACCCAATGTTCAAGTCTCTCAAGATCCTTCTGTAATCTTAAACCTATCTTTTGGAGTGTTGGCTATTCCTGCCAGCTTGGTGTCATCTGCAAATTTGATGAGTTCCCCATCTATCTCCTCATTCAAATCATTGATGAAGATATTGAAGAGCACTGGACCCAGAACAGAGCCCTGGGATACCCCGCTACACATTCCCTCCATGTTGATGCAGTTCCATTGAGGACCACATGCTGAATATGGCCGGTCAGCCAGCTACGAATCCATCTGGTGGTGATGCTGTCTAACCCACATTTTTCTATCTTATCAAGTAGTAGGTTGTGATCTACTTTATCAAATGCCTTCAAAGTCCAAGTAAATTATATCCACAGCATTCCTTGGGTCCACTAATTTTGTTACCTGGTCAAAGACTGCAATAAAATTTGTCTGGCATGATCTGTTTTTGACAAAACCATGTTGGCTTTTGGCTTTTCACCCAATTTTAATTACATCAGCACATCCTGTTTTCATATGGCAATAATTTTGCAAAATTATATTTGATTTTGGCACATACTGCACAGAGGTTATGCTGTTACCACTTTTCACTTTTGTATTCTGTATTTCAGAAATGTTTAATTTTGGGACCCCTGCCAATTGTCTAGGTTGCCTAGACCTAAAACCAGCCTTGCTTAAGTCTCTTTAATACAAAGAAGTATGAAGGCCAGCTGGGTGACTTTGAACCAGACATTCTCTCTCAACCCAACCCTCCTCATAGGGTTGTTGTGAAGAAAATAGGAGGAGGAAGGAATATTATGTGTGATCACTGCCTTGAGTTACTTATAAAGGTGGGATTTAAAGAAAAATCTAACAACCTCCCCCCTCCCCCCACTTTTCAAACTAAACTGCCTTTTCTGCTGAATCAAGCATGAGCGGAAAGAATATTAAAGCCCTGCCAGGATAAACAATGTGCAATTCATTTTGTGAATGCATTTCAGAAAATATGGCAACTGAGGTAGCTTGATAACTTGAGCAATAACGTAGATGAGCATGACCAAGAACTTTTACATTTGGCATGCCAATCTTAATTGAGTTCCTCCATAAAGCAAAAATTGGATTGACTTTGGTGTATCGTAAAAGGGTGGGGGGACAAACTCTGTTATTTCCAGTTGAAACTGGAAGATTGGAGAATACAGAGGGATACTTGCCTTCCAGAGTCCCTTTGGATAACAAGACAGGCAGGATATAAGTACATGAATACTTGTCTATATTAAAATATTACTGGTGATTTTGATAACTGGCTAAATCAAGATGCAGAAAAGCTCTAGGTGGATTTTTTCCCCAATAATCCTAGTTCTGATTTCTAGTCAAACAATTCTATCAGATATAATGAAACATTGATTTTGGTATGAATGAGAAGCTTCAGAATCTCCAGCCACAAAGAGCTATCATGATGAAATTCAATCAGAATAATGGTGGCTAGAAGGACCAAAAATGCTTCTGGGCATAATCTCTGGCATTCTTGGGCTCCTGTCCTATCTGATTTTAAAGTTTTTTTTTTTTTTTACAAGGATGTCCCTGGGCTCTTTCATAAACCATCATGGCATAACAAAAATAATGGCTTGCTACCAGTTAGCAAACAAGGTAAATGAAAATTGTAGACTGTTAGAACATCCTAGAAGGATTAGAAAAGTGACAATTATCAACCTCATTGTATTTTGTTAAAGTGTGGTCTGTGACTTGCCATATGCACCAAGCAGGCATTTTTGAAAATCAGCCAACCGCTGAAGTTTATGAGGACACATAAAGCACACTTTTAACATTCTATAGATGCCAAAAGTTGTGTGGCCTTGAATCGCACAAAGAGAATCTTGTTCTTGTACAATTTCAGTTGAAGAGATGACTGCTCCAATATAGTTTAGTTCTTTATTTATCACACTAATCAAGGAAGAACTCCATATTCTCAAGAAATTGAAAAATGTCAAGTTTGAATATTATGTTAGGAGTTCCACTTTTTCAGACTGATATTTTGTCACCACAATTATACTGAAGAAAAAGTGTTTGGGAGTTTTATACCTTGATCTGTTTTCTAAATACAAGCTGAATCTATTTGTAACTACTAGTTTTTGCACATGAATATTTACGGTAACTTAGATAGTAAAACCAAGGATTGGTCCATCTACACTTTTAAGAGCACACAGTTGTCTCCCTTGTATCCATTACTTAGGGAGCCCGGTTTTTTAAAAACATGATTTGCTGAAGCCAACAAGATAGTTGTTTGGCCTTTGAGTCTCTCTTAATGAATGACTTTCCACTGTAGAGTTTTCACTCTGAATGCCTTCCACATATGGAAAAATGGAATAGTACATTATATGCAGTCCTTTCAGTGACCTGTGCAGTTCAAGGAGAACAGTTGTCAATATGATGCATTGTAACATAGCCCGGAGTCTTGTTAAGTCTTCTGCTATTGTCATTATTCTGCCATCCCATGGGATAAGTATTGTTTGCACACCTTTTACTCATCTAAGAAAGTAATATTTTGTGTTTGTGTGTGTGTGTGTGTGTGTGTGTGTGTGTGTTTGTAGGTATTTGTATCTTGTGTCCTAGAAAAGTTGTGTCTAAGCAGCATCTGAATTCAGAGGTCCCTAGTCTAAACCCAACAATATTCATACAATCATCTATAGGCCTGCTATAACAAACAATAAAGTAAAAAAAAACTAATCTCATGTGTCTTCCAATTTTTTCTCCCAGCTTCTACCTTTTGCCATTTCACTTGCAAGAACTGCTTCCAAATGACTATTTTTCCCCAAAATACTTCCATAGTGTTTTCTTCTACATATCCATAATCAAAGAACAATAAAACTGCATCACACTCATGCTTGAGTGCCAGCTTCTTCAGTAGGCAATACTTGTTTTGATTAGTTTAGAGTTTATATGCATTAGGATTTAAGGGTTTTTTTAAACAAACAAACAAACTAACACCATTTTATTTCAACACAGTAAAACTTCAGACATTGCATTTTAGTTCTTTAAAAGGAATTTG